TGGTGATGAAGCAGTGGGCCGGACACAGTATTTAGAATGGTTTTCTCACTTCAAAGAAAATGAACACATGAGGATGATGAACACTCTGGTTGTCCGTCATCATCAAAAACAGATACCAACATTGAAAAAATGAGAAAGGATATTTCTTAGGATCACCGACAGAGTATCTAGGACACTGGGAATTTCTGATGGGTCGTGTGAAAGCATTTTGACTGAAAATTTGAACATGAGGCACGTGGCTCCGAAATCTGTGTTCTGCTTGGTAACTTAAGACCAGAAAGACCATCGCTTTCTGTCTATAAACAACATGGCGGTCGTCCCCCCACCCTCCCTACTCCCCAGATCTATGTTTCCATAAATAAAAATGGCACTCAAGCGGCAGAATTCTAATGACATGGAGATTCAAGCAGAATCATAGGCCACATTAGTCACCATTAGGAAGGAAGAGTTCTAGAAATGTTTCAAGAAGTGGCAGAGTCGCTGGGATCAGTGTATAGCCTTCCAAAGAGAGCACTTCGAGGGGGGAAAACTTCAACCAAGTGATTAAGGAAGCTTATACAGTGGACCCCCGCCTTACAATATTAATCCGTTCCTGAGAGCTCATCGTATGCCGAAATTATCCTAAGGCGAATTAATTTTCCCCATAAGAAATAATGGAAATTAAATTAATCCATGCAAGACACCCCAAAGTACGAAAAAAAAAAAATTTGTTACCACATGAAATATTAATTTTAATACACACAAACTGAAGACATGCACAGTTAATACTCTACTAAGAATAGAATACATGACACTTACCTTTTTTGAAGATCTGGTGATGATTGATGGGATGGGAGGAGGGGAGAGTGTGGAAGTTGCTATTGTTTAGAAGGGGAATCCCCTTCCATTAGGACTTGAGGTATCAAGTCCTTTTCGGGGCTACTTCCCTTCTTCTTTTAATGCCACCAGGACCAGCTTGAGAGTCACTGGACCTCTATCGCACAACATATCTGTCCATAGAGCTCTATACCTCTCATTCCTTTATGATTTGTCTAAAGTGGTTCACAACATTGTCATTGTAATAGTCACCAGCACGGCTTGCAATAGCTGTGTGAGGGTGATTTTCATCCTTAAAGGTTTGCAGTTCAACCCACTTTGCACACATTTCCTTATTCTCTTTTTTCAATTCCATACTAATTCTCATCCTTTTTACCACAGGGATGGCACTAGAAGCTTTCTTGGGGTCCATGGTGACTTATTTTACAGTTACAAGCACTAAAAACACTGGGATCATGTGAAATGTACCGAATGTATGTGTAGATGCGACTGCACTGGCTGGCTTGTAAACACTGGCGCTGAGGCCACACGTGGAACGCATCCTAGACGAATCACGTAAGGCGAGTTTTTTAGCGTGAGGCGAGGCAAAATTTTTGCGCTAAAATGTATCATATGGCGGATTTAACGTAATACGATGCCATCCTAAGGCGGGGGTCCACTGTATACTATTTTCGCGGCAGTCCAGGAGCTTTTTGATAGCATCTCGCATATGTAGTTGAGAAGTTTGGGGTGATTGTAGCAGATATTACCTGTTTCAGAATATCATCCCAGATTCTTTTACCTCATTCATACAGTAATATTTCCTGGTATGAGTATTGTCTGCTCATCATTGTTTAGGTCAGTTTACAACTGTGGCTTCTCTTATTCTCAATGTTGGTGCAGTTATCACATCATCTACCTAGTACAGTAGATAAGTGGATAAACTGTCATTTTCCTGATAAAAGCACGAAACTTGGCACAGCTTAAGAATATATGTGAATGATTATTTCTGGCTATAGGCAATCTAATATTTGCTCTTGTATGTCAATTACATTTAGAATAATGGCAGCTGAAGATGGTTTTTCAGTCATACCTTGTCAGCAATGAATCCTATCCAAATTTAATGCATTACAAAAAATGCAGCTAATAAAATTACCTACAAAAAACATTGCCGGGTCACCGCAAGAAGACTCCGGCCAGGACCCGTCCTAGCGAACCTACATGTCTACAAGAATGTTTATCACTCCTTTGTTAAAAGGACTTCAAATGCTGATTATTTTAAAAATACTTGTGATCCAGTAATGGAGGTTTAAGTCTAATGCACCTATGCCATTAATAGCCCAATTAATATACCAACATACACATAGTGGTGCACTGAAAACCAGTTTTCCCATTTTCCCCATCGTTTGCAACCCTTCTTATGCAACCACATTATATTAATTCCATACAGGCTTATGTAGCTTCTGGTAGGGTCGTCCAGTATACATGTATGTTCCTGTCATCCCCCTCCCCCTCCAATCACTTGGTGAGGTTAGTTGTGGAGTGGTGGTCATTTCAGCCCAACAGTAAGCAGTCTGGTAGGCAACAACAGTGATATACTGAATGAGTGCAGCCTGGGTAGCCTGTGTGAAAGTTTCTTCTCTGCCTTGTTAACATATTCCTCACTTCTAGTTTGGTCATATAGCAAATCACTCCAGCGGCTGCAGTCAGTCTTCTTGACTGTGGGTTTGGTCTACACCCAAGGCACATAATGCAACGGCAATATCTCCATAAACATTCCAGATGTCCCATGCATTCCTTTTCCATCTTTCTCCAAAAAATGACACTGTCACACCCAGTAACTGAATGGCACATTAGCAAAGCAATACACTTTTCACAACCCAGAGCTCTTGCTATCTCCTGAGTTGCAAGGTAGCGGAAGTTCTTCCCAACACCAAGTGCAACCCATGGTTCATTAACATTTATGCACTGTGCATCGATATCGACTGTTTGTATTAGCGCTTTGCTATACTGTAGTTGGACAGCATTATGTAAGTGGAGCATGGCAAGTGTGTCTGCTTAACCCTTTGACTGTCACAGCCGTATATATACGTCTTACGAGGTACCGTGTTTGATGTACATATACTCATAAATTCTAGCGGCTTCAAATCAAGCAGGAGAAAGCTGGTAGGCCCACATGTGAGAGAATAGGTCTGTGTGGTCAGTGTGCACCATATAAAAAAAATCCTGGAGCATGCAGTGCATAATGAAGAAAAAAAAATCCGACCTTTTTTTTAATTAAAATGCCGACTTTGTGGTCTATTTTTGTATAGTATTTATGGTTGTATTCTCGTTTTCTTGGTCTCATTTGATAAAATGGAAAATATATTACAGATAGGGGTAATTTGGATTGATTTTACTATAAAAAGAACCTGGAAATGGAGCTCAAAGTAGGGGAAATGTTTGATTTTTGCCGATGTTCAAAAGTAAACAAATGATGTCATTGTCCAATAAATGTCCAACTAGCCATTCTAATATGCAGTCATGAATGGGTTGATGTTATTTATACAATTATTACAGTATTGCAGCAGTCTGCATAATAGTAAATCTTCTATTTTTTGTTTGAATAAAAATTCAAAATAGAAAGCAAGAGTAATATCAGAGGGGCCTGGAGACATGACTGATGAACAAAGAAAATGTTATTTTAGAGCCAGGAATGTCTGCATTGTTCATTCTGGACCTTATTTTGAAATTGTCATATTTTTTAATTTTCGTGAAATTGGCCAAATTGCAAATTTCTGACCACGTAATTGGGTAGTTGAAATTGGCAAATGGGCAGTTTCTTGTACTCAATTGATAGAAAAAATTAAGTTCTAAAGAAATAGCTATGAATTTGGTCGACTGAAACAATGGAATTAGCCGAAAATAGGGCTCAAAGTGGGCGAAATCGCCGATTTGTAAATATCACAGAGGTCGCTAACTTCGCGAGAGCGTAATTCCTTCAGTTTTCCATCAAATTTCGTTTTTTTGGTATCATTACAATCAGAAAAAGATTCTCTATCATTTCATAAGAAAAAATTATTTTTTTTTTTTTGAAATTTTGTGACACCAGGAGACACCTCAGGATTGGGGGTTGCGACAGTCAAGGGGTTAAAAGAACCACAATGGAAATAAGTCACTGACTTTTTTTTTAGGTTATCCTAGGTAATTTACACATTTTACTATTATGATAATTGAACATATGTGTACTTGTATCTAAATAAACTTATTCTTAATGAAAGCTTACCACCAGTCTGTTGACGTCTTAGCAATTTACACAATGGACACTGGTTTTACTTGGTGATGGCTTTTTTTTTTTTTAAATTAGTGTCAATGTCTGCAGTTATTACTACCACCAAAGTAAAAAAAAAATTGGTTTGGCTCTCGTTGGTGCGGGGGTGGGAGACTGAGGGGACTGGGGGAACTGCCGTTGTGGAAGGTGGAGACTGAACAATGGAGGGGTGGGGGGAAGGAGCTGGAGGCTTGAGATGGGAGGTGAAGGATGCTGAGCGCAGGAAGCAACAAAGTGACGTGATAGGGACTGTGTGGGTGGCACCCTCTGTGACTTGATGTGGGTGGTGGTGTGGATAAAGGGTGACTGGGTGGGTGTGTGGCTGGTGTGGATAAAGGGTGACTGGGTGGGTGTTTGGCTGGTGTGGGTAGTAATTAGGGTGGTGGATGGCTCGTGACAAGGTGGCTGGATGGAGTGTTAGGGTATGCGGAACGTGAAAGCATGGGTGTGGTGTGGGCATGGGACTATGGGGGAGTAGTGTGAGTGAAAGTATGGGTAAGGTGTGGGGGCAGGGCCATGTAGGCTAGAAGCTGTGGAGTGGTGTGGGTGGTAACTGGATGCTGGGTGACTGAGCAGGTAGGTAGGTAGGTAGGGAGGTGTAGGTGTGTAGGTAGGTGTGTGGTGTGTGTGTGTAGGTAGGTGTGTGTGTGTGTGTAGGTAGGTGTGTGTGTGTGTAGGTAGGTGTGTGTGTGTGTAGGTAGGTGTGTGTGTGTGTGTAGGTAGGTGTGTGTGTGTGTGTAGGTAGGTGTGTGTGTGTGTGGTGTGTAGGTAGTGTGTGTAGGTGGTGTGTGTGTGGTGGTGTGTGTGTGTGTGTGTGTGTGTGTGTGTGTGTGTGTGTGTGTGTGTGTGTGTGTGTGTGTGTGTGTGTGTGTGTGTTGTGTGTGTTAATGAGGGAGGTGCATGACTAAGTGATTAGGTATGTGGCCAGCATGTTAGGGTGAAAGGTTGGTGTGAGGTCATAAGGGTTAGGTGACTGTGGGGTAATAATGTAGGTGTAGGCATGTGCTGTGGGGAGAATTGTATGGATGGATTGTGTGGGAGGTAGGTGTTTGGTTGGGATGGTGTAGGTGAAGGCATATGGCCATGGGGGAATTATAGGGGTGGTATGAATGGGAAGAAAGGCGAGGGTCGGAGGCTTGATATGGGTGAAGGCAAGTGGCCATGGAGGAATTATAGGGGAGGTGGTATGGGTGGGGGTTGTAGATGGTATGGGTGCAGCTGGGGTGTGGCCATGGCAGGAAAGGAGGAAGGTTGAATAAATAGTTGAGGTGGGCAGAGGTGTGTGACTGAGGTATGGTACTGGATGTGTATTAATGTAGCATGGTTGGATGGAGCCCTGAACCTCACTGTGTAGCTTGACTGCCAGGCCCTCACCTTCACCCATTTCCCACAGTTGGCCTTCACCTATGCTCCCCCATCCATGCTTACCCCCCACTACACCTCCACCCCAAACACTCTCCCTCACCTGCATATCCTTACCCACCTGCCTCTACCCATCCCCACACCAGTGACTATCTGACCACACACTCCAGTGCCACACAGGATGTACAACGAGCAAAGGGAGCATGGGATGGCTGCAACAGTATGCACTGCAGGCCACTCTCACCCCTTCACTCTCCTTTCTTCACCCAGTACCTGTCCTCACTAGCTTGCACACTCCCACCCACTAACCCATAAGACAATGAACTCGCCCTGAGGCTCACTATGAGGAGGGGAAACAGGACATGTGTCATGTTTTCCTCCTACATGCACTCTACCATGTAAACCAATGTTTTATGGCATGTTCACCGAAAATATGCCCAATTTTGCAACTATGTTGGAGCAAACACATGTTAACAGATTGTTATCTGATGGTCTACTGTATTATTTACTTCGAATCCCACAAATATGAAATAAAACAAGATGACATAACTGTATACTGTAGTATTGTCTACAGTTTCTGGAATACTATAATTGTGTATCGTTTTAGCCACGTTATTGTAGCTTATACCTCTAGAGTTATTTAGTATTTACTCACCATTGTACCTCTTGGAAGGCAGAAGGGTAGTAATCCTTGTGTCATAGATATTGTCAACAGATGTGGGGTATGCTTCTCTGTAGAACTCTACACAAGCATCTTCCCAGCCACCACGTTTGGTAGCTTTCTGGCCCCGGCCACCTGATCCTCGTCCACTTGAACTACGCCCACCAGAGCCTCCCATGGCTGCCGAGGACCGACATCCCGAACTGCGGTCCCCTGACATGTCCTCCCTTTGGAAGAAAGACATTGGCAAACTGTGAATCAAGCCTGTACTACACAGTATCACAGTAATGTTCAAAAACTGTAGAACACAAAAATATACATACATACAAATGAATACAGTACAGTATCTATAACACAAATAAATACATGCACACACACATACACACAAATATTTAATCACACATAGCTGGGCCAACGTAACAAGCAGGGTCTTACAAGGATCGGTACTAAAACTTAAACCATTTTTTATATACCGTACATTCTATAAATGACCTACCAGAAGAGAGTGACGTGTGTGTGTCAGTCACTGCAGATAACGGAGACAATGAGAAAAATCCGAAACTTAAATAATTTCTGATATACAATACATTCTATAAATGACCTACCAGAAGAGAGTGACTTGTGTGTCAGTCACTGCAGATAACAGAGACAATGAGAAGAATCCAAACAGAGAAGGAAAGCTATTAACTATAGGATGATTTACATGCATCAAGTGTAGTCACCCAAGTGGCTGCTGGGATTCAACCCCAACAAGAGTAAAGGTGTGAAAAGGGAAAGGGGTAAAAATACCTGAAATAAAATACAAATTGGGATGATAGTATTGTAACCACAAATAGAGAAGGAAAAGAACACAGGGGGGTGACTATCAAACTGTCTACCTTTCTGGAGAAACACATCAACCACATGACATTTGTACCATGTACAAAACTACCAAACACCAGACATTTCTCTTTAAGTATCTAAGTAAAAAATTCTAAAATACTCAACAAGAGAATCATGTTAAATGAAATCATAGAGTACAAAGCACCAGCATAGAGACCACAACTGGTCATGCACATCTAGAAGCCTGAGGGACTGCATATATTTACAATTAAACTAGTTCTGGAACCAAGGATGGTGCAATTACAACAAGGCTGAGGCCAGTGGTAAAGAGAGGTCATTTTGTCCTACACTGTTTGGGGATTAATGTGGGGTGCTACTGAGCACCATGACTTGATGTAGTGTTTTAGAATCTCAGGTTAAAGTGTTGAAGGAGGTGGTCCTACTTCTTCAGGAGGAAAATAGGAGGCTGAAACTTTGCCTAGATAGGTTTGGGAGTGAGTGTGAGATGGTTGGATCTGGTAAGGAGGAAAAGGTTACCAGCAATGAGTTGGCAAATGGCAGCCTCTTTAAATGGCAAGTGGTTCACAATTCAGGAAGAAGTATCAAGATAAGGAAGGTTAACAGAGAAGATTTGAAGGTAGGAAATCTGTTCTCCAGGACGAGTGGACTTCAGCAGTTAGTGAGGTTAAAGGTACCACTGACACCCCAGCTATTCAAGGTATGAGCATTCTGAATGTGGGAGACTCCCAGGTAACATATATGGACCGTGCTTTTTTGTAACAGAGATAGGAAGGTGAGACTGTGTATTTCCCAGGAGCTGGTGTTAGTGACATAGTCAACAGGTTGGATAATATTATGTCAAGTAATGGGAATAAGCCCATTATTTGTCTTTGTGCTGGTGGAAATAACATTGGGAAGGGCAGGAGACAGGGATAATTGGGACACATCCTATAGCAAATGTCATATGTATGCAAGAGATAGGGTTTATCTCTCTGGAGCAGGAGTGGTTGCATTAACCAACATGATTGAAAGGGGTCATTGCTGACTTGTCTAAGACTTTAAATTGATAGATTATAGAGGTATGGGTGTGTGTGGGAAACAATCAGGTTGCAGTACTAGGGTTGATAACAGCCGATATTACCAGGATACCTCAGGGATATGTTTAAAAGACAATATTAAAAATAAAGTTGCTAGTAAAGGCAAAGCAATTGATCAACAAACAGAGACAGTATCTGGAGAGTTTATCTGGAGAGAGTTCCGGGGGTCAACGCCCCCGCGGCCCGGTCTGTGACCAGGCCTCCTTAGATCAGTGTCCCAGGATGCGACCCACACCAGTCGACTAACACCCAGGTACCCATTTTACTGATGGGGAACATAGACAACAGGTGGAAAGAAACACGTCCAATGTTTCTACTCTGGCTGGGAATCGAACCCAGGCCCTCACCGTGTGAAGCGAGAGCGTTAACCACCAGGCCACCAGAGCCCCTAGGGCAGTGAGGGCAGTGAGTGACTAGCTCCCTTAAGGTTTACTATACTAATAGTAGGAGCCTAAGAAATAAGACAGATGAGCTAAGATTACTTGCAAGTGCAGGTAATATAGATATTATTGCTATAACAGAGACCTAGTTCAACCTGAACGATAACAAAATGCCTTCTGAATGCAACATAAAGGGCCATAAACTATTCCACACTGATAGGGTCAACAGGAAGGATGGTGGAGTGGCGATGTATGTCAGAGATAATTTAAATTGTTGTGTTAGACAAGATATAAGATTAGAAACATCAGACACGGAATCTGCTTGGCTACAGTTTCTTGAGGGTCGTGAAAAATTAATTTTCGGTGTGATTTATAGGCCCCAATACCTTGATAGGGAGTGCATAAGCTGATATGGGACGAAATTCATAAGCCACCTAGATAAGAAAATGTTATGTTAACCCTTTCAGGGTCGAGAGACCCTCTCCTAAACTTGTTCTCAAGGTCAAAAATTTTTCGGGAAAAAAAAAATTTCTTGTGAAAAGACAGAGAATCTTTTCCCGATCATAATGATACCAAAAGTATGAAATTTGATGAAAAACTTACGGAATTATGCTCTCGCGAAGTTAGCGGTCTCAACAATGTTAACGCATCAGCGATTTTGCCCACTTTGAGCCCTATTTTTGGCCAATTCCAGTGTACTTCAATAAAAATCATAACTATTTCGCTAGAACTCCATTTTTTCTATTGAATGAGTACAAGAAACCGCCTATTTACCGATTTCAACTATCCAATGAAGTGGTCAGAAATTAGCAATTATGCCAATTTCACACAAAATTCCAAAGATGCTAATTTCCAAATAGGGTCCAGAATAAACAAGACAGTCATTCCTTGCACTAAAATAACATTTCCTCTGTTCATTAGTCATGTCCCCAGGCCCCTCTTACATTTCTTTTGCTTTCCACTTTTGAATTTTTATTCTCACAAAAAATAGAAGATTTACTGTTATGCAGACTACTGCATTAGTGTAGATATGGTATAAATAATATCAGCGCACTTGTGAAAGAATATTAGACTCACCAGTTGACGTGTATTGGACCCATAGCATGATTTATTTACTTTGAACTTTGGTAAAAATCGAACATTTCTGCTACTTTGAGCTCAATTTCAAGGTACTTTTCATTGTAAAACCAGTCAAAATCATCTCAATTTCTGTAATATGTCTTCCATTCTGTAAAAGGAGACCAGGAAAACTAGAATACAACAATAAATACCACACGAAAATACAGTGCAAAGTTGCTGTTTTAATCCAAAAACACGATCAAAGTTTTTTTTTTCTCATTACGCACTGTGTGCTGCAGGATTTTTTTTATACTGCGCACACTGACTGCATAGACCCATTCTTTCATATGTAGGCCTACCAGCTTTCTCTCACTAGATTTGAGGGCGCTAAAATTAGGCGTACTAGTACGTCAAAAACCCTGGTGCATAAGCCGTACTAGTACGGCCAAAACCCTGAAAGGGTTAATAATCTTGAGGTTAATGATTAGCTTGGGGAAAGAAATCACATATCACTTAGTTTCAATATATCATGGAATTACCCAAATAACTGTAATCAAGTCTCTGTCTTAGACTTCTGCTTGGCTGATTTCATAGGGCTGAGAAATTACCTGGGTGGGCTGAATTGGAATGACCTGAGTATGGTCAGGTAGGAGGCGATGGCTGCCAATATGATGTCTTTTAGAGCATTGTTTTAGCTGCCCAGACAACTTATGTTCCAAGTAGGGAAATCAGATCAAACAAAAATGATCCTAAATGGATAAATAATAGATTAAAACATCTCATTAGCCAAAGAGAGGCATATATAGGCATATCAAAAGAGGGGATGGGCAGTTAAGAAATCAATATATTCAATTAAAGAGAAAAATAAAAAAGGGAATAAGAAAAGCAAAAAGAGATTATGAGGTTAAAGTCGCAAGGGATTCAAAGACTAACCCAAAAGGGTTCTTTCAGGTATACAGATGTAAGATTAGGGACAAGAGTAACTCAGGTCAGATCACTGACAGTGATAAGGAAATGTGTGAAATTTTCAATACTCCCTCTCAGTTTTTACTCAGGAAGATACTAGTGAAATTCCAGAAATAATAAATTATGTAGAACAGGACAATAATAAACTATGCATGATTGTAAACTCAGCATTGTAATCCTTATAGAGAATAAACTTTGAATTTGAATTGGGGTAACTAGTGACATGGTCCTCAGACACACACAGAAATTAAAGCCTAACAAATCCCCCAGGCCGTGATGAACTGCTTGTAAGATTTTTGAAGTAATGTAAAGAGTAACTTAGCAAATATTTGGTTAAGCTTTTCAGCGTATCACTACAAACTGGCATAGTGCCAGACAAATGGGAAATGGCAAATGTAATACCTATTTACAAAACAGTAGACAGGTCCTTAGCTTCGAACTATAGACCTATAAGCCTTACCTCCATAGTGGTAAAATTTATGGAACCAATAATTGCCAAGACAATTCATAGCCATCTTGAAAGGCATAAATTGATTAGTGAATCTAAACATGATTTTACAAAGGGGCGTTCCTGCCTTATGAATTTACTAACTTTTTCACTAAGGTATCTGAGGAGGTAGATCATGGTAATGAATATGATACTGTGTATACTGATTTCAGTAAGGCTTTCAATAGAGCTCCACATCAGAGGCTACTGAGGAATAGGAGGAAAAATTTTTTCCAGGGTAGAGGCATGGTTGACAAATAGGAAGCAGAAAGTTTGCATAAATGGGGAGAAATTAGGGTGTGGGCATACCACAAGCAGTGTTCCACAGGGGTCAGTGCTGGGCCCTTTGTTGTTCACAATTTACATAAACGACAAAAATGAGGGAATAAGCAAATTTGCTGATGACACCAAAATAG